ATCCTGAGTACACAATGTACTCGCAAGACTTATCCGACTAGTGGGAATAATTTCTCGACTCCAAGGTACATGATAAGCTTTATGGTTTGTTGGTTTCCTTTTTGTTGAAAACAATTCTAATAGTGAATCCTTATTTATGTTATTATTAGTAGTCATGATTAATTCATTATCTAGACATTCTATGTGAGCACCTGTTCTACTTTCAAGCAAGAGTTGAGCAAACAGTTCATTTCATCGCCTTTCATTTTCCAGTTCTTACTACGGTGCTAGAGTTTAGACAAGTCGTACCGACACGACAGCGATTCGCGAATCAATGTGCCCAGCTGGGTACCCCAAAACACACGCACCACTTGTACCCTAGGCACAAGTAGGACCAACTCACCACTCTCTTGTCAAGGGGTCTAGTTCCCCATCCAAACTTGGACTCCAAGCCCCCGCTCCTGAGTCCCGGACTCAGTGTGGTGCTTAGACCTCCACCATTCCTGCCTCCAATCAGTTAGTCCAGAAAGAACCGGAATCCACGACAAGAGAGCAACAAGCCTTCCCTACGCCCATACCCAAGTATGTGCTCGGGATAATAAATTTGTGACATGCCTAGCGTCCATTGCAATGGACGGTCCTTAATCGACACAGACAGGGAAAAAGTGTAACAAAGCTATGCTCCGTTGGCCGCAGGACACAACCACTAACACACCAATACCCAAACCATATCCTTGCCCAGTCTCCATTTTCCTTTCCACCATTTTATCATGAGTGATAATAATCACCTATTGTGAGTAACGACATGTTACTCACGCTACTAAAATCCTGAGCATAGCAGCTACTTGACCTATACTAGTAGGACTCATAGGTAGATATATTTATACATGTAGTTTCCATAAAATGTCTGTAACATAAATGCACATCATATATATTCAGTGATCATTCAAAATAAGGGTTATGCATCGGGGCTTGCCTTAGGCAAGCGGTGTGTCAACAAAGTCAGCAACTAATGCCTCCGGGGCTCCCTCCTGAACGAGAATCTCCTCCTCGTACACTTCAATGATCTCCTCAAAGTCATGTTCGTCCATAGGCATGAACTCTACCAACTCGTTATCTACATGCACAAAATGATGATGCAACACTTAGTAATACGGCAACAACCACTCTTAAAATACGAACACACCTATCAAGCTACTAAGCTAGTTCTACCGACTAAGGTGCTAAGTTACCTATTGTTACCACCAACAAGTATAAAACATGGCATGTACTATCTGAGCAACTAAAGGCATTCTTACTCTTAATACTGATTTACTATATATATACTAAAACAAGGAGTACTAGCTACTCTATTACCGTGAGCACATAATAATCTAATGAACCTATCGTAAAAATTTCATGGCTAAAGCTATCACTAATTTGCCACAAAAATTTCTACAAATATTAAGCTCTCCTAAATGAATTAATGAATCTATCATTATTATAGATAACTATAAACTAACTACATCAATAGCTAGATAGCATTTTTGTGAACCTAACAAATTTTGTTTCACTATTTTTGGACATCTATAGAATTTACTATAGTTTTTTAAAGTTCAGCTCAAAACTAAATTGAATAAACCTTTACTAATTCACTGGAAAATGAAAAACCAAAATCCACCGCGCGTCCCACGAGCGAGCTGCTCGGCCCACGCGCGACAGTGGCCCACAGAGGGGAGACCCATGCGCACACCGACGCTTATGCAAAAGGGCCCTCGGCTTTCAACCAAATGGACCCACAGTCCTTTCTACTATTTCCCTCTCTCTTTGACGCTCTCACTAACCCCCCCCCCCGACTTACTTCGAATTCCCATTCCAAAGTCCCTGGCCAGAACTTATTAAAGGCCACGGCATCTCCGGCCAAACGCCGACGAGCACGGACCTCCTCGGCAGCAAACATCACCACCGTGACACTCTTCATCACAAGTGCAGTCGATAGAGGTATAAAACACCACGATTGGTGCCGCACAGAGGCGTGGCCATGCACCACGGCGGGGTTTGGCCGCGGTGACACTGACGCTGACGAAAAGGTCTAGCCCAGCGCTACCATCACTACCTAGACTCCATGGCTAGAGTACTGATAACATTCTAGAGGTCCTAGATATACCCGTTCTACTCCCAAACGAGCCAGCCACGGACACAACATCTACACCACGTTCGCCAAAGGCGGCCACGCGCTTCGACGAGCCTCGGCCCTAACCGATTCAACCATCTACCCTAGGAGTAGGAGGGCCTCACCAGAGACGTGTAGGACAACCTAGATGAAGTCGCGAGGCTCAGCAAGGTGGTTGGCCACGTGCGTGGGGTTGCTCTGGTTCATGGCAAGCGCGTCGATAGCGTTCTCGGTGATTCGCTGCACCCTTGGTGAAACTGTTTCACAGGAGAGGCAACCAAGTCAAGGAGATGCAAAAGCACCGCTCAATTGAGACAAAGGGCAAGGAACGACGCTGGCCGAGCACCCACCCCGACGGCCATGGCGGACCACCACGAGGAAAATGCTCCGTAGTACCTCACTAGAGGATGAAAGCTCATCGGGTCGACTCTAATCGTGAGCTTACCACCAGAGCTCGTTGGGTGCACGGTTATTTGGACGGAGGTGGACGGTGCGAGGCCAATTAGGTGGACGACGCCATTCGGTCTTAAGGGGGTCGATGGCGGGGGAAACCTCAAATTGAAGCCCGACACCGTACGACGGCAACAGTGGCAGGCTTGGCGCAATGCTAGACGTGAATTCAAGCTCCAGGCATGTGTAATTACATGGATGGGGCCAGGCTCTGCGGGTTGGCCTTTGGGTGGCTTGGCCGGCCGGCGCGACGCCATTCAAGGCGACTGTGATAGGGAGCATGGCGTGGTGCAGCCACTAAATGGAAGAGGACAACGGTGCGACGGATGATGGCTCCACATGCGCGTATGAGGTCGGCACGACGATGTGCGATCGCAACGCCTTGACTTCGCAAGACGACGGCGGCCAGGCCACATGACGGCACAGCGGGCGCGCGCAGCAGTGGCAGCGACGACGTGACGCAAGCTGCAGAGACCCGATAGAGGGACGCCGTGCCGCCTCGGCGGGACACGACCGATGGCGGACAGACGCACATGGGGAGGTGACTCGGCCTCGGGCGAGCAGCACCCCATCGGGACGACGGTAGTGACTGGGTGGGGCCATGGCGTAAGCAGAAGGAGGAGGAGAGCAATGGCGGTGGCAAGCGAAGGAGAGGGGGAGAGAGCGAGAGAGCGGCCCGGCCTGGCCTAGCTGAGTGGCCTCGGCCGGCCAACGTGGGCAAGACCGGCACGGTGACGCCGGGGCCACGTGTGGTGACCGCGCACTGCCTGCGAACTCATCGATATCATGCTGAGCGCAAATTTTAAAGCCTCTAATCCTACCACAAGGTTGTCTCTGGACCTAAACTCACTTCACGATGATCAAGAGGACACATGGGGCTACTAAACCAAGCTAAAACATCATACCACTGCTTAACCCAAATTTTCTATAAAAATTGCCAAACTCGGCTTTGTCAACCCATTTTTCAGCTTTAGAAATTCGACTAAGTCTCGATCGGATTCGTATCACATTCGATTTCCAAGCTACTAGGTATGCTAGTTAGTGAATTCATTTCTCGACCGTAGGTATTTCAGCGTCACCTACATGGTGCGTACTTCTAACTTTACTAAAATTCCGTATATACGTTCTATACCATTTTCGTTCAATAAAAATTCGCGAACATCCGTACTTGAAAATTTTATAGGTCATGAACGACCTATCGTTAAGTATTTCCGTTGGTCGCTTTTACGTTACGTACATTATTTTACACCCTATATCACATGCATTTACACATAAATATGATGCTATGCAGTGTTTTAGCAAACGATTGTACATGGTAACACCGAGGGTGTTACATAGCACTGACCACATCACCGCATGCATCAACAGAGGCAACAGAGGAACATTCAAGTAGAGCTAGGGTTCGAGACTTACCCTTGAGGATCCCAAATCGATGCATCTATAGAAAGAGAACATCACTACTACGTTGATGAAGAAGAAGAACAACGCGGAGTGGAACAACTCGCCTCGAGCACTAGCCAAATAGGGTAGGCTCTTTTGCCTGAATGACAGGGCGCATGCGTCTTGCCCAAAGAATCCACGGATGCGAGCCCTGGACTCGACGATTGGAGTGCGGGCACGAGCCCCGGCCTCGGGCTACCGGCGTCGTGGGCGCAAGTCCCAGCCTCGGGCGCCCGGCGTCGAGGGCGACGACCCCCTCCTCGATGGGGGGCGACGACCCGGCCGGTGTCGGGGGCGACGACTCGGACAACGATGGGGGGCGGTGAGTCGAGGTTTGGTGGCGGTGGGGCCTTATCGGTGGTGGCGCCGGTAAGAAAGGATGGACCGTGCGCTACCGGTCTGGAGAAGTCGGACGCGCTCGAGGAGATAGCAGTCGTGATTCGTGAACCAGATAAGGTTCTCTCTCTAAGGGTATAACGACTATTTTCGCGTGCTTCTGTACCCATCCAATACGTTTTTTGTGAACATTTTCTAACGGACTGTTTGATCCAGTTAACGTTCGAACTTTCAGTGTCATTTTACGTTGCCAAAAAATTTCAATGGTATTTCACGATTCTATAAAATTTTCAGTGTTATAAAACTAATTTTCTCGAGATAGAATCATCCCGCCTCTAAAGACTGAGATGGAACCGTCCCATTCCATCCCTTCGTATCTCTCGAGCAAACGCTACCCAAGCTCGCCCTATGCCCACTCGCCCAGTACGGGATTGAAAATGTGCAAATAATAACCAAAGGCCCAGCCCACCCCATAGCAACCGCGGTTTAAAACGGACCGAATAATCTCCAAGCGTCAAGTGAGGACTTGTTCGAATTTCCGTAACAATTTACAAGGTCTTAGATGCAAAATTCCCTGACCCCTCTAGAACGACCGCCCGCGCCCAGCCGAGGAGCGACCGGCCGGCGAAGCGGGAGGGAGGCGATGGCGGCGGCTCGGGGGCAGAAGGAGCTGGGGGCTCTGCCACAGCTAGTGAAGTCGCTGCGGAGTGATCCTGTCTCTGCCTTCCGTCTCTCAGGTATACGCTGGATCCCTGCTGGACCGAGGAAATGCGACTTGTTGCTGTTCTTCTTCTCTGGTGCTTATGGGTACTTGATTTTATCTGATTTGTTTGGGATGAGCATATGAGCAGGAGGACCTTCTCGCTGTACGACCAGATCAACCTCATCGACAGCGTCCCCGAAGACGAGCTCCGATTCCAGTCGTACGCAATCTCTCCTTGCATCCTTTCGCATCATTATTTCCATTTTATTATTGTTTAACTAGGTTCACGCCCGTGCGTTGCTACGGGTTTAAAAATCCGTATTTTCTAGTATTTCAAGAGATCAAGTGATAACTCTAATTGTAAAAAATAAATAACTGATGTAATCTCATAACTCTATTTTCTAAAGCAACTTATATATTTTGCCATTTTTCAAGCAAGCAAGAAAAAAAGCAGCTTTGCAAATCTGTAGCATGCATAGCTTCCACTCAAGTTTTTGCTTCCATCTTGCAATCACAAACATACATTCTGAGAGCAACATATCTATACAATTGTCTAGTCATCACATGAACATATTCAGCGTTCATATCCAAACAACAAGAGTCAAATTCATAATTGGTGTACATTCAACGTCCACCTTCTCAAAGACAACGTTACAATATTCAATGTCCAACATATATTCTGAATATTGTAATTTTCACTGTCCAAACAACAAAAATTGCAATCAACATTCTTAGATTGACACAACAATCAACAGTCACAAATTAACAAAGGCATTCAATCATTAAATTCAATATTGAGATAAAATCTCAATTCAACAATAAGTTACAACTTCTCTACTTCTGAAGCTTGGCTTCTCAAACTACTTACTAATGTCGCCCTTCTCCAGAAGCCATATGCTATGGCCGCCCTTCCTCCTGCACTTGTGTGGCAGCTGTGGCCTTGCTAGCAGCGGTTACATCCCTCCCGGGGCCCATCGAATCAGGAGCCCTCTTACTGTAAGCTCACATTGTTGTTTGCTAAAACCTGCTAATAGATACATTGGTTGCAAGCCAAGCCATACTAAGGCCATTTTATTTGCTCATGCAATAAATAATTTGACTGTTGTAGTTTTCTTGGCAGGCCAAAAGGTGATGCTTGCAATTTGCTGACAGAGAAAAGACCTTATAGAGAAGAATATTCACTATTATTTGCAAAAGTTGCATCCAGGTGGATTCACTAACTGCATCGTTTGATGCGTGTAGTGAGTTGGGTGCAGATAGAAAAAAACAGATTGCACACTACACTCAATAGGCTGTATCACTGAAATAAGAGCAGGATTAAAGGAGAGCATGTTGGCTTTCCTAAGTACAGACCTAATCTAGCTAGTACATACAAAACTGTAGAATCACTTTTCTGAACTCTAGTTATGTGAAATAATTATTCAGGATTGGCTACAAAAGTGAATCTAGGAGATAGAGACTGAGAATAAATATGCGAACCTAAGCTGAATTTAAGAGAACTGCTTTTGTAATATGAACAATTGAACATGATTATTTCACATGCTGTAGTAAAAATGTACATCAGTAGAGCACAATGTGCAAGTACACTAAAAGCATAGTCAATCTAGTTGAAATGGCAATTCTTTCAGGGTAAATGAAAATGTGAAATCTCTGAATCTTGCATAACACATGGTATTGCCTCACCACCTTCTTTGTATATAAAATGTTTTCGAAACAAAATAATACGGAGTAGCAACAAAGCAGGAGCAATGTGGATGGGAGATATTGATGCAAAGCTGCATGCCAAGACTGAAGACCTACACTCCTACAGGCTGAAGCCATGCCAATCAGTAAATTCTGGAGCTACTCAAACATCATAGTATACTATGTTCAGGACCTACTCAAAATGTATATATGACTGATTCATCATATCATTTTGAAGCTCAAAGTATGGAATCAAATTGCCTGGCAAAATGACAGCTCTCAGCTCCAAACATTGTTATGATATATGCAAAAAAGCTCACAAATGAAGCTAGCAACTCAGAAATCTAGTTCAGTTAAGAATTTTGCTATGGCTCTAGTGACCAATCCGGCTTCCTGAAACAAATTAAGCTGAAAATTTTCATTTAGAGTTGACAGTTGCTATTGCTAGACTTCAGCAGCAGTAGCGAGCACCGCAGGGAAACAGAGCTACAACATATTCCTTCCTTCTCCTTACCTCCACCTTTGTTGCTCCCCCCTCTCTGATCTGGTCAATGGCAGTTCTAAGGACCAGGGCAACACAGCTCCAAAGCTGACATATAGAAGTACCTGTAACCAAGGTATGCCTGCTGCTGCAACAAAAAAAAAAGGAACCAAGAAAAAACAGATGCGGCATCTAGAACCAAGAAAGCAGGATTTTGAGCAGATGGAGCTGCATACTAACTGAAATTAAGATTTATTATTTACGTCAACTTTGCTAGTATTTGGTAGTTCTGTAGGTGTACTGTTGTTGACTTGTTGGTCCTAAAATTGAATAGCTAGCCACTTGCTACCGTCCTTTCCAGGTTCCAATAGTGGTTATAAGCGAGTAGCATCACATGAATTGCTAGAGGAATGTGAGAAGCAGTGTTCTGTGTAGTAGCAAACTGAAGAACCAATTGAGTCTAACCCACTCAGCCGTGCCCTCTAGAAACAACGGTAACCAGAACAAACTGGCCACTACCAGGCTAGGTTGAAAAACCAACAAATCAATGTAAACCGTGAGTGGACACTGCAGCCTATAAGGAAATTAAATGTCTGATCATACAACAAAACTATGATTGATTTTGCAGAGTCCAATTAACAGGGACCAATGAATCATAGATAACATACACGAACAAAGTGATCAATACCAATTTAGACATGCAAATATTATCCGGGCAATAGAGTTTAAGTTAAATAAATAAGAAAAGGGTTTCTTTGCGTATTCCTGTAAATCTTTATTTTATTCAATTCTAATCCAATTAATCCAACCAGGCCAAACAACAACAAATTTAGTCATCTATTCATAGGGACTTTCGAGGATTCAGATACATTCTCATGGCAACGCCAAATCCAACACAAGTTTCCGTTTTTCCCCCAATTAATCATAGGCTTTTAGAAAACTATGGCTCATGCTAAAGTCAAAATTTCTTGAATTAGTCAGAATCTATACAGTACCAATGCTCGTTGACAGAAGAAAGTATCCTACAGCCTGGAATGCCGCAACCTCCACGGCCTCCGCGACGCTGACGGGCGCCATGCTGCAGGAGTGAGAGGGGAGAGGGGCACAGGAGGAGGATGACAGTGACAACATACCAGGCTGCATTTGGGTGAGAGGGCGTCGTCATCAAGGACTTGCAGCCACACTGGAGCTGCCACTCCCCGAGGGATCGAGACGCATCCTCCCATGGATCCGAGCACCGCTGGCAAAGAGGGAGAGGGGGCGCGCGCGGCCGCTGGATTTGGATTTAAGGTGAGGCGGCGATGGAGCGAGGTACAATGGCGGCAGATGGGAGGACGCGGTGCGGCTGTGGCAAACGGGGATGGGGGCGCGAGGCAAGGTGGGTGGCGACGGGCAGAGAGGAGGGCAGGAGGCGGCGGATGGGGAGGGCCGGAGCCCGGCGGGGCAGTGCGAGGCAAGGTGGGCAAGTGGCCCACATGTCGGCGCAAACAAGGAGTTACCGAGTGCTATCGCGGAGCGGCTTCACCATGCTAGTGGTAGACGGGGTCCTCATGACTCTTTTTAGTGGTAGAGATTAATGCCAAGAGTTTTTAAGGGTGAGGCTGTGCTCCCTATTTCCTAATTTTTGGATATGATTATGTATCCAATTATCCATATGCAATGCGTGTAATTCTTCTTTGTTGTTAAGATCTGGAATTGATGGATTCTGGATATGCAATCATGCGTGCAACAGAGATTTACAAAATTATCGGATTTATTAATTGTTTGTGTTGGAGACCATTGTGTTTTGTGTTGGAAATTCTTCTTGTTGTTCGCAAATAAATTGCATACCTTGACTTGCAGCATTGTTTTTTAAAAAGAAAACTGGTAAAGAATTGAGGAATGAGGTTCAACTGCCCTTTTCATTTTTTGTTACCATCAAGGCAATACCATGATGGTTGAGCTTTGAGGGTCATGGATTGGAACTGTTATCGATATGAGCAGTTGTAAATAACTGACATTGACAAAAGTGAACCAATACCTCTCTGGCTGAACATAGAGGAAGAGAACACGTATGGGCAAATATTTTTGCTTTTGTTGTCCTCTCCCTTTTTTGCTGTGCAAATTTTTCTTAGTTTGGTGTTATATTCTCTTCTAGTCACATTTATGAAATGTATCCATGACACGTTAGAATAGGTAGGATATATTACCTGATGATCTTCTATTAGCATAAATGGCTGTGAGCCTGTGATGGAGCCTGTTTTAAAACTAGTATTAATTTGGGGCATGAGGGTCATCTGACCTTTTCCACTTTATCCCAAAGCCAATGTCGTGGTCCTTTCGTTTGTAGGGACATGATTTAGAACAAATTGTTATGTACATCTGTCGTTAACTATTTTTTTTTTAAATAATTAACTGACCCATTTCTGGGTGAGCGAAGTGGAAAATATTCTTCAACTAGCAGATTTACAATTATCTAGTATAGATCAGAACAGTGGGACACTTGATGATGTTTTGTTTTACCTTTTGTTCTGGGTCATGCTGATCTTGGAGTTCACCTTAACATTTCCGTGCCTCGTTTTCTGCTATGGTGATGATTCAATCTTTTCTGTTCCTGTATAGTTTATTTTGTGCGATAAGCCAGTAAGTCATTGTTAATCTCTGAAATGTGTTTGTCTAAGGCTTACAAATGTGGTTATTGGTTGTTTGCCTTGATTGGTATTGAGAAAACTAGATAAACGTGTGAATGATGAGAAAAACAATACAAATACCATCTACCGAGTATATGATTGGTTGGCCCATGTTATTGCTTCTTTTAAAAGCAAGGAGTGGTCCTTTTCTGTGTTTTAGTGGGTTTGGTACCACATAACTCAGAGCTTTCATTGATTCTGGACACCCTTATTGTGATGTTCTGTGAGTGAAGGTTGGCATAGAATGTTAACTAGGCAATATTGGCATGAGATGTAGAACTATGTACTGTATTTCTTATTCTTCATTCGCTTCACTAATTTTGGTGCTCTTTCTATGAGATCAACCTGTCAGCCTCATTGCTATGCAACTAGCAAGAGTAACACAAATGGAAAAAGTCTATTCAATGTACATGCTTCACTTTCTCCACTTGGAGGGCTTAGTGTTCTCTGTTATGTTTTAGGTGTTATAATTCAGTGATTTTCTATTGAAAATGGGAAGTCAAAATATGTACAAGTGGAAAAGAAAGGGCAAACCCCCTGTGGGAATGCTACAGCAATGCAACAGACCCAGGGGGAAGAAAGGATATAGGTATCCAGTTTCACAATGAGACAAAAGGTGCCAATCCATCAAAAAACATGTGGATGTAGATCTGTTTTTAATCCTATCCTACTGTACGATCATTTTCTCCTTCAAATTATCTTATCCTGTTTTCATAGGAGTGCATCTTATGATAGAAAATTCAAACTATTGTGCTGCTTCAATATTTCGCCACCTAGCAACCAAGAAAGCCTCCGTTAATAAACTGAAGTAAAACTTTCCTTCTTAGACGTGTAATAGGGCAATTGAGAACCATTACATCGAACTGTATTAGTGTCAATTAGACATTGGAAGGTCTCTGGCTATTCCTCTGAAAATACATTTTCCAATATAGGCATGAGTGGTGTGTAGGATGGGATGTTCTGAATTTCTTGTAATGCTCAATCTGCTATGCAAATTTTAGTGCTCTTTTCTTGGTATCAATTGTCAGCCTCACTGATGTGCAATTAGTTGAAGTAAAACACAAATGGGAAAGCCTATTGTCCAGAAGGTACTTGAATGTCGCCATATGCCCATGTCTTGGAGGCTTGGAGTTCTATGTAAGGTTTTGGTGTTGTGTGTTTTTTTCTATATATTTATCAAAGAAGAGCCAGTAAGCTGTATCATTTAGTTCTGTAGCTCAGTTTTAACTGGAGCATTGGATCAGGTGTCTCAAGTGTGTTTTGCTGTTTGTAGGTATGATGACACTGGATTCAAAATTAACAATGTAAAATATGAAGGCAGCTTATTGATTGTAGAGAACAAGATAATGACATGGGCACCCAAAACGTTCTCAGAGATAACTGCTGAAAGGTAAGACTCACACTTGAAGTTAAGAGTTTGGTGCAACTGTTGTATACTCCATTGTATATATGATAATATGAATATTGATGCCTTGATACTTCAATGCTCTTGTAGTATGCCATTAGAGTTTGGTGCAGTATCTCTGTTACTTTTTGTTTGCCACTGTATTGATGGTAATATTCCTGTTTATAAGATTTTTCTGACGCTTTTCCTTGCTTAAATAATGCAGCTTATCAATCTTCAAAGTTGTGCACCCTATCCCAGGTAAGTTTGTCTTGGTGAATGCTTTGCTACCTTCAGGCATATTGTTGTGCTAATGTCACAATCCAATGCTTTGTATGGGCCTTATTCCTTGGTTTTTATGTGGAGCTGGTGCTGCTCTATTAGAAAGCCTAGTCATGCATGGTTTTTTATCGTGAGAGATTTCATGTTTATGTTTATTAATTCAACAGACAATCCTTAGTTGTGGTTGATGTGCAAATATTTCGTCATGGTAGGGCTCAATGTAGTGCTCTAAATCTTGTTTTCTAATCCTTTCTGTATATTTCATCGTCCTCATTGGTAGAAATATTAAAGTGATTTGCACCATTTGATATGCCATTCTTCTCCAGAGATCTTGATTCTTGGTTGTGGAAGACATATCCAGCTGGTCAGTCCTGAGCTGCGAAAGTTCATTCGGTCAACTGGAATGAAACTAGAAGCTGTCGATTCAGTATGCATTTTAATGGCCTAATCCCTCCCTTTGCGTTTCATCGTATTTTCCTGTTTCAAAAACAAAGCTTAAGAATTCCAATAGGAAGGAAACTTGCGCTGTTCCTCCCTGCTTATATAATACAATGCTTCCATGGTTTGCAGAGGAATGCGGCTTCAACATATAATATCCTGAACGAGGAGGGCAGGCCGGTGGCAGCTGCAGTTCTTCCCTATGGAGTCACTTGTTAATGTTTTTACCTTTGATACCAGTTGGGCAAGGCGTTTTCTCTTTTGAATCGATAGCCAACTGAGCTGAATTGTCAGTATCCGTCTGAACCATCGACAATGCTGTCTTGGTGTCTAGGAAAGGCCACCTAGGTTTTGTAGCATATTTTTCTCTTTGTAATCGCGGGCTAACAGAAGATTGACGCAGTGTACAATACACCGAAATAAGAGCGGTGGTTCCTGTCATGGTACTTGTTTCGTTCGCGCTGTTCTTGGAAGTCCTGTATCATGCGGTCATGCCCAAACTGAAGTTGTCTATCTTCCTGCTTTTCTAGTTCCTCTAGCAAGCACAGACCTGAGTCTCTTTTGGTTGACGAGGATACAATCATACTGGGACGGGCACTGCTGTGGCGTGGAGGCCGTTGCATATGCGCATCGGCCTGGCGAGGACCACGTACCCGGCTGTGTTTGCCCTCTGTTTGGTCGTCCAAATTAGGAGAAACAGCCCATTTCATGTCCCAGACGACGAAGATTCGTTCGGCAGCATGGGGCAGACATCTCGTTTAGCTTTATTAGGCGTGACTGGCGCGATCCTAAATTCCTAACGGTATAGCACCAGAGACGCACGGCGGCACAGCTGCACAGGGGCGGACCCCCTGGAGAAGAGGAAGAGAGCATCCCTTTCGCCTCGTCTCCTCGACGCAAACGTCTAACAGCAATGCCCCCGCCTCGCCATCTCCGCCCTTGCTAGTGCCGGCTCCACATGTCAGTCAGCGCGCCGGTCTCCCCTTGGCATCGCCAATTCGCCATCTCGTGGCATATTCCACAGTCCTCTTGAACCCAGAGAAAAAACAACAGAGATACAAGTAAGTACTCCGTATCTGATTTTATTCTTGAAAACCTAGTAAACGATGTAATCTTATTTGATAATCAATAAAGTGCGCCGCATGGCTTTCAAAAAAATACTCTGTACTGACAAGCGGAACCATAAGATTATCGACAGCCACTGACGTTTGGGCCCCAACAGAACAGCGGCTCACCGGTTCGTGCCAGCTAGCAGGCGCCTTCCAAGCTCCGGTTCTCTCGGGCGTTGGAACCGAGGATTGAAGGCATCGTGCGGACTATGCGCGCCCTGCACACCTGGCGCGTGGGCCCGCCTCTTCCATCTCCCTCTGCGGCGTATAAAGAACCGGCCCACGGCCACCGCCACGGCCTCGCCGGAATATCTTACGAAAACCCTCGCGGCGAGGAGCGCTCTCCCTCCCACACACGCGCGCCGCAGCCTCCGCACTCCGCAGTCCGCACCTGCCTCCACGACTTGTCGTGCTCGTGCGCTACTCTCTCTCGAGTGCGGCGCGGAGCACGGGGACATCAAATGGCGGCCGCGGCGGAGATCGGTGGTTTCACGGCGGCGGCGCTCAGGCCGGCTGCGCACCCAGCCCCGGCGGCGGCGGCGGCGGCGCCACCGCAGCCCAGGAGGGCGGTGGCGGCGCAGTCGCTGCGGACGGCCGCCACCGAGACGCTGACGGCGGATCTCGCCAGCACGACCAACGGCGCGGTGCATGCTCAGGTGAGTGGCATCCTTTAGCACTTCTGACTTCGGGAATCAGGACTCTGCCTTCTCCTTGCACGCTTTGGTTGCTTGGCAGTATTAGTGTACAGACACTTCCTATTTCTGAGTGCATGGTGCTTGATTTGGTTCGCAGAGGAAATTAGTCTCAGGTTTTGCTTCGGCCTTGCATCGGATTAGTCCCATGTTTTGTGTTTGACGATTGGATCCCAAGCGTTGTAATTCGCAGTTGATGATCGTAATGTAGTTGTTGCTGCGGGCTCGTTAGTGAACAGAGGTTGGTCGTCTGATCCCGAGCTCCAGGCTCAGAGATTTGATGATTGTCATTTCAGTGGTGAATAGAGCTACAGAAATAGCATTACATTTATAGATGTTTGCCCATTTCCAGGTCATTTATAGATAGCATTTCGCTCCTTTTGCCTGATCTGATTTAGTGCCCGTTCTGGCTTCATGATGTTGAAGTACCTGATGCTATTTCTACCACCATCTGAAGTTTGTAACCAATATTTAGCTTATTTTAGACTTTTTAGTAGCAACTCACTTTTGAGTATGAACTATGAACGATAGGGTAGTTGATCACTTGATTGGTTACTTCATGTGGTGACAAGGTACTTTATGTGGTGATGATTTTATCATTTCTGATGCAGATGAATAGTGAGGCTACTAGTGAAATCACTTCACAGGCAGTTATTTCTAGGAGGAAAACAAAGATAGTCTGCACCATAGGTCCCTCAACCAACACTCGTGAGATGATTTGGAAGCTTGCAGAGACTGGAATGAATGTAGCACGCCTTAATATGTCCCATGGAGACCACCAGTCACACCAGAAGGTTATTGATTTGGTCAAGGAGTACAATGCACAGAACACTGATGGCAATGTTATTGCCATCATGCTGGACACTAAGGTATATCTTGGCTGAATACATTAAAACAAATGCTATAGCAACTTAAGTTATTCTGACTGAATTTGCTGGATGCAGGGTCCTGAAGTTAGAAGTGGGGATGTTCCAGAGCCAATCATGCTCAAGGAAGGTCAAGAGTTCAACTTCACAATTAAAAGAGGGGTGAGCACTGAAGACACTGTCAGCGTGAACTATGATGACTTCATAAATGATGTTGAAGTTGGTGACATACTGTTAGTGGATGGTGAGCTAAACTCTCAATTGTCATATTCTACTTTGAATGTGTGTAGATGATTAGTTACTTGTTGAAGCAAGTTCTTGTTCATGCTGTGGCAGCTGATGTGTATTCAAGTTATCCCTACAATCATGTTTCTTGTGCAAGCTAACTTATTTCATTCGATTAAGAATTTTGATTATGTTAATTTTGTATTATTATGATCCTGTAATGGATATTGTCAGATTCTTTTGTTGCCTTCTTCCGTAAACTGATTCACTTGTTTGCAATTAAACATTATATATGTTATTATATTTCATACACCGGTCCTTCATTGTACTGTTGTCTGCTACAGGAGGAATGATGTCACTTGCTGTGAAGTCTAAAACAGCTGATACAGTCAAGTGTGCAGTAGTTGACGGTGGGGAATTGAAATCAAGGCGCCACCTAAATGTCCGTGGAAAGAGTGCTACTTTGCCATCTATCACTGGTTAGTTAATCCCCTGACTGGTCTAGCTGCCATTTAGTTGCATCCAACATGCTAACATGCTTCTGTTCCAACAGAGAAGGATTGGGAAGACATAAAATTTGGTGTCGAAAATGGTGTTGATTTCTATGCAGTTTCCTTTGTGAAGGATGCCAAAGTTATTCATGAACTAAAGGACTACCTTAAAGGTAATGTGCCCTTCATTTATGCAAGTCATGGTTATCTATGCTGGGAAACAGGAACCTAATTGATGTTTTGTGCTCGTTTCATACCCAGGTGCTAATGCAGATATACATGTCATTCCAAAAATCGAAAGTGCAGATTCAATACCAAATCTGCAGTCCATTATTGCTGCTTCAGATGGGGTAAGACCACGCTGACCGTGCAATCCTTTGATACCAAAAGATGTAAATTCACAGAAAGGGAAAGGACTTGTAATGGTATAACTTTTGGGTAGTTGCCATGCATGATGAACACATGAAGGAAGCTGTGTTGAGGAACTTTGTTAGATCCACATGGTTCTTGTCTCCCTTTCATTTTTTCCTTGAGAGGTGCTTCTATGTGATGCATGCTGGCTTATGTAGCACTGTATGATGCATGCTGGCTTTATATACAGGTATAGGTTTGATAAACAAAAAGGAAAATAACACCGCCATGTACTTCTTAGTTATAATTCTAGTCTGCTAGACACTGAACTTCTTGAAATCTTCAGGCAATGGTAGCACGTGGAGACCTTGGTGCTGAACTTCCGATAGAGGATGTTCCTTTGCTACAGGTGAGATCACATTGCATGTACAGTTTTAGGTGCACCAAATCATTTCTTCCTGTATCTAGTAAAGAATGCTGTGTAAAAATGCAACCAAGCAGCAGCATAATATAAATTGTGACTGTTTTACTTTTCTTTTTTCAGGCAGAGATTGTCCAAACATGTCGAAGCATGGAGAAACCAGTCATTGTCGCTACAAATATGTTGGAAAGTATGATTGACCATCCTACTCCAACTAGGGCAGAGGTTTCTGACATAGCTATAGCAGTCCGGGAAGGTGCTGATGCCATCATGTTATCTGGCGAAACTGCTCATGGAAAGTAAGGATCCACACTTGTTGCTGTTTGAATGCTCTTCTAGTTGTATTTTCAAATTTTTGTAGTGCCACATGGGTAGTTCATTTCTTTAAACCCTTTTAGAGGACCAAGAATTTTCTGTTATGTGGTGGCTTCAGCCTCCATTAGCATGTTTGTGTGTATTGTGACTCAGATGGTTTGTGCGTATTTCTGTGTTTAGGTACCCACTAAAGGCAGTCAAGGTGATGCACACTGTGGCACTCAGAACAGAATCCAGCCTTTATAACCCAACAACATCCCCTAGTCTAGTTGCATCTGCACAGGTATGGTCAGGTCCTTTTGGATCCCGGTTCCTTCTCACAAATTTGCCAATGGTGGTTTCAGCATTGTTCAATGCTCACTGCTCAGTCACGGCTAGCTGGCTTCTTTGAGGCAAAGACACCATCTGCTGCTGTTAGCATTTTGTTTTCGAAATTTATATCCATTTATGATTCTTTTGGCAGGGTCTACAGAATGAGGAGTTTTCCCCAAGCCAGCTAAGTAAAATGTTTGGATCTCATGCAACGATGATGGCCAACACCCTTCGCACACCAATCATTGTATTTACACAGACAGGCTCCATGGCTGTCCTCCTGAGCCACTATCGTCCCTCGTCTACACTATTTGCATTTACAAACGAGTGAGTTCCTTTGTTGTTCCCCTTCAGGACAATTACATAATCTTTAATGCGATATTGCGATCATCTATGAAACATGCTGTGCATCAAGGTAGTTCATAGCCTTCATGCAG